TGGCCGATCAAGTTCTCCCATGGTACACTTGTTCCCCGATGTGATGGTGTCTCCAAGATGACAAAGCCCCGTTCAAAAGCTCTCACTGGTCCAGACTGGTTTTCTGAACACAAGCTATTTGTCCCATCTGCCATCCACACAGTACAGACCTGATATTATCGAACCTTTTGTCTACATTTTGGAACGGAAGTGTGTTTCCGTATCCCCGCCAACATCGTTATCGAACTTGCCACTTTGCATGAGAAATGTATAATATTCCTTGAAACATACAGAACTTATTTATCCTTCGAAAACTGCTGTTTTGCCAACGGGTTCTTACAACATATTAAAAAAAGAAACATGTTTTTTTAAAGGTGTTTCCATATTTTTGTCCAACCCCTGTAGCTCCGACAGCACTCTTTTGGAATTCTTTTTTCACACTTGCAGCTACATCTTGCTAGTGCTATCGTTCATTCTGCACACCATGTCTGAAATGAGGTCTATTGGTTTTTGAACTTGCAGCCATTAAGTTTCTGGGCCAAAGGCTTCCAAAAACTAACAAAACGTTGGCAGGAAATTATAGATTTGAATGGGAATTACTATCCGCACTAAAGGTACTGCTTTCATGTTTTGTTCCCCCCTTAATTTTACTAAGAACATTTTTTGGCAGAAAACTTTCATTACAACCTGATATACGTATATGTGATTTATTTTGTGCGAATAACTAATTTAGTATATTTGTTTTAGGGAATGCACCATTACTTTAATCTGTCAACACTGGGCATAGAATACGACTGGAGGAAAATCGTAACTGGCTTGATGTTTAAAACGCATTTTAATTTTGAACAGGAAATTCTCAGAATACAGTTTTAATTTAAACCTAAGATGTCACGGGACCCACAATTTTATATCTGCAGTAACTTTTGGAACACAGGAAGATCAGTTTAGCAAAGAGACGTCCCTGTACTCCGACAGCACTCTTTTGAATTCTTTTTCCACCTGCAGCTACTCTTGCTAGTCTATCGTTCATTCTGCACACCATTCCGAAATGGTCTTCGTTTTTGAATTGCAGCCATAATTCTGGGCCAAGGCTTTCAAACAAACAAACGGGCAGGAAATTATAGATTTGAATGGGGATTACTATCCGCACTAAAGGTACTGCTTTCATGTTTTGTTCACCCCTTAACTTTACTAAGAACATTTTTTGGCAGAAAACTTCCATTACAACCTGATATACGTATATGTGATGATTTATTTTGTGCGATAACTGATATTATAATTTGTTTAGGGATGCACCAATTACTTTAATCATGTCAACTGTGGCTAGATAGACTGGAGGAAAATCGTAACTGGCTTGATGGTTTAAACAGCATTTTTATTTTTGAACAGGAAAAATTCTTCAGAAATACATTGTTTTAATTTGTAGAACACTAAGGATGCTAAACGGGACCCACAATTTTATATATGGAGTAACATTTTGGAACACAGGAAGAATGCTGTTTAGCAAAGAGACATCATTTAACGAGCAAGTGGCACAGAAAGAGAGTGCATACTTGGATTGCAGCAGTATTTACAATAAAATTTTTCATTCATGTGATTAGCTAAGAACTATACGCAATGCAGAAGGTCATGAAGACATAAATGCATTCCGTCAACTCTGGATGCACTTATGTCATCAAGAGTAAATGCTGTTAAAAAATCAGATATACAAATCAACAAAGAATATCAGTTATTAAAAATATAGTATAATGTAAATCATTGCACTAGAGTAAAAATAGCATTTTGAAGCAAATCAAAAGCTTTTACATGTATCATCTGTGCAGAATTTAATACTGCAATTAACAGAAAAAGTAAATAAAGCCTTGTAGTCAAAAACTACAAGTGTAATTTATAAAGCAGTATACTTAATAGTAGGACTATATCTTTTTCTAAGATATATAAACAGTTCTTAATTTGAAAGTTGAAAATAGTTCTGAAAAAACGTTTCTATGAATGATTCTGACAATCACATTTATTAACCTTTGTTTCTATTCAAATTGTTTATCTGTCATGCTAAATTTTCAACCTTTCTCAAGAATCTTTCAGAAGTATTTTCCCTCATCTGATGTAGAAAAAGATATAGTCCTACTATTAAGTATACTGCTTTATAAATTACACTTGTAGTTTTTGACTACAAGGCTTTATTTACTTTTTCTGTTAATTGCAGTATTAAATTCTGCACAGATGATACATGTAAAAGCTTTTAATTGATTTGCTTCAAAATGCTATTTTTACTCCAGTGTATATATATACATATATAAAAATTTTCTTTTCTTTTTTACTCATGGCCATTCTCTTCACAGAACATAAATGCAGTGAAAAGGTGGATTTTGAGGAAAAAATAGAGATATAAAAAAAGTGCTTTAAAAATAGTGCTATACTATTTATATTAGTTACATTACAATTTATACTTTTTCAATGTGAACTCCCATTTACCAAAAGGAAAGTTTCTTAATGTGTTTCATTTCAAAACTGTAAATTATTAAAATAGTAATTTTTCTAAATATGTAAATCAATGATTAATTTTTTTAAAGAGCCATGGAATTATGATTTGAAATATAAAACTTTAACCATTAAAGTTTTTGTCCTTTTGCTGCGTACTTTCAGGATGTAATAGGAAAGCATGTTTGGCTTGCAATTGCAAAGTTCAGAGTTAACGCCCCAATCAGGGCATTGCAGATTTCTCATGCAACCCAACTAAAAAATAAACAAATTATCACTTCTGAAAGCACATTTAAAGTTTAGCCTGCCATATTTTTGGATGGCTGAAGAAAAGTTTACCATCATTTTTATAAAAATTGATAAAACAGAAATAGAGGGTTACAAGTGGAACATATAGATTCCAGAAGGGAGAGGGAAAATCAGTTATGCATAATTTAGGAATAGGAGAATGCCTTTATCCTAAAAATTAATCAGGGTTCATAAGCCACATTTTAGTTAAAAAAATAAGCACCTATAAGCACATTTCAAGGAAAAAATAAGTACCTGTCTAATTACATTATACACATATTCCTTAAAAATAAAATTAACTTGTAATTAAATATTAGCAATGCAATATTTATAGAGAATGAGCATTACCTCAACAATGAAAACAATTAACTTTTTTTTTTTTTTTATTTTAATGACAGTTCAATTTACAGATTAGTTTACAATGAGAGAAAAAAAACTATGAGCAGAACTAAACTAAATTACAAAATTTAATAATGATGATATTTCCGTTCAGTTGAAAATATAGAAAATAAATAATAATACCCATATTAATTGTATTCATTTGACACCTAATACAAATACAATTTATTTTTCTCACTCGTATTAATTTTAAATAATTTAACGTAAAGAAAATTCTGAAAATTTTCTAAATTTTCATTGCATACCATTTTTCCTTAACATATATCATCCCAAACAAGTAATTTCAGTACAAAAGATGCCATTTCTGAAAGCGAAGACGGGAAATGCCTTCATTCATGTGCGTCCCTTTAACCTAAAAGCTTAACTAAACCCATACTCGGAAATTCCCGAATATTCCGGGTATAATTGTAAAAAAGAGTTGGGGGATTGGCCGTTCTTTAGATTTAAATTTAGCTAATAATGTTTGGACAGTTAAAGATGTGCAGCATATAAAAAAAAACCAACAACGAGACTGATAAATATTCCGGCTCGAAAGCAACAGTAAAACTCTTTTAATAAGTGTTCATCAACAAATCTCAGACTGAACTCAATAATATTGCTGCAAAACACTGCAAAACGTCATGCGCATCCATGCGGCGTAATTTTTCCACATGTTCTATTACGCAATTGGAACAACACTGCAGGGCCTCAGAGAATAGCCGTCAAGAACTAATAAAGGAAAAAACTAACTATCTGTGTGTTTCTGAGTCTATTTTCAACAACTGCGGAAATGTCTCCGGAATAGAATACAATCTCTTCCTTGGTTTGGGTAGACCGCAAAAACTTTTAGTCCATCCATCAGATCGGACAGGACAAAAAAAAAGTCTCGGGGGCTTCGTTCAATGATTGAAGAGGTATTTTCGTGCGAAAGGTAGACCTCCCAACCAAAAAAACGTACCGTATAATGCCTAAAAATGGTCGAAAAAAAAGACACGAAAGGATGATACTACTCCATTTATATTTCAGCAACTCCTCCGAATATTATTCCTAGAAGCTAATCTGGGAAAACACCCCCTGTTTTGGAAGTTTATCTATCCTCACATCTGGCACTATATTATTATATTCATACATATGACTCATAATATACACAAGAAACACAATATGAACTGACTACTACGCGACCGAGAATGCAAATTATGAAATCTTGATTGAAATTCAAACTGTGTAGTATTATGATTGGGAGGGCCAAGAATACCGATGTATCTCGGCATGTTCCTAACGTTTCGCAATTATTGGCCAAAAAATGGACGTCCTTCTGTCTGTACTCTCATGCGCACCATAGTTACGTTAATGCAGAGAAGGGTCGGGGCAAAGCAATTTTCGGGAGTATGATTCACCACCTACTTGCATATAAGGAAGACAAGTTGTTTTACTTAGTTTCGCGGCTTGGTACGGGGAAAAATGCACGTTCATTAAAAACCAAGAATAAAAAAAAAAAGCACTAAAAGTCAAGAAATAACACTAAAAACAAAAAGAATGGTATTAAAAAGAAACAGTACCACCTATACGGGGGCCTTTATATTTTAGTTTTCAAGATAAAGACCTTTTAGCACTTGTAAGGACCGCTACGAACCCTGTTAATGCGCTAGAAAATGTTCATCAATGGATGTCAAATTAGTAAAAGTTTAAGGCTGACTAAATTAGTAAAAGTTTAAGATTAAATTAGTAAAAGTTTTGATTAAATTAGTAAAAGTTTTGATTAAATTAGTAAAAGTTTAACATCATACAATAGTTACTATCACTAGGTATATATGATATGCTTATCCCAGTTGCTCAGTATTTAAAAAATGTCACAAACTTGTTCAAATACTTAGAAATGAGGTAATTATCTAACTTACCGCAATCTGCCCCGCTAAACATTCATTATTAGCAATATCATCAGTTGAGAAGAGCTAATAAGTAAAAATTACATCAGAATACAATACAAATGTTTATAAACTTCAGATTAAAAAATTCTATACAGAAAAACAGAATTAGGCACATTGTTTAAACAGTGAATAAAATTCTTTAATCAAGCTCACTCAACACTTTTTTTTATGAAATATGGTATACAAATTGTCATCAATGAGGCATTTATTATAGTGATATTAACAATTATTTTAACTTCAAATAAAATATACAATTTAGATGTGTAACTGAACATAAATGAACATTTATTACTTTTAAATATTATGGTTTTTCTGTAACACTGGTTTTCTAGCCTCAGCTCTTTAAATTCAATAATTATGGTTTTATTAAATTCAATAATTATGGTTTTTGTACCGTATTTAGAAAGCTAATACGGTACAAAATCCGAGATCCAGATACTTTCAGACTTCAGGGATCCTGGATATTAGATGAGTTTAAATCTAGGCATGATCATAAATAATGAAGCATTTATGATCTAAAAAGGCTATTAAAATTTACGAAAAAACTTAATATTTATTTGTTTACTCTATTAAACATTTATTTCAATGTAAGCCTTTTAAGTTGCTTTGTTTTTGTGCTAATACTTTCTCTTTTTCTTCTATAGACAGATATAATTCTTTGTTCAATTACAAAGTTCCATTGTTCAAGTCCTGTAATTGCTGTGTCGAGAATTCCAACTAACTTGTGAATCGAAATTTTCTCATTTTCAATAATTTCCTTCACTATCAGTAGCAGTGTTTTGGCGATCTAGAACCATACTACAGATTGCATTGTTTGTTAATTGATTGATAACTGGGGTATTGTCATCGCAATGAAAACTTCTGTTATGTCATCTTCGTTTATTACCACTTCTACACATTTCTTTACAAAATCTAATAATTGGAAAACTTAATCTTTGCTCTGCGATATCCTAAAACCTTGAATTTCGAGGGTATCATTTTCACCATCCTCACCATGAAATATGGTAGCTGGCCATAAATTATGCCAAGCATTTTTTAAAGTATCTAGAGACACATACTCCCACGATTTTACGATGCTCCTCACAGCATATGTTATGCTAAAATATTTTAAAAATTCTTGAATAATCTTGCCGTTATTCAAGAAACTCAACATAGACTTTTAAAATACTACTTTATATTTGCATTTCAATAGACTAAATGATGCATGTAAAATTTGGAAGAACGAATAATACGGATACATTATCTTTCAATAAAACTTTGAGTGAAATATGAGCTGCACAGCTGGCTACAATCAAGTCAATTTTTGCATCATCAGGAAAATCAACCGAATTCAAATGTTACCTTGTGTCATCCATGCTCTTTTACTTGCATGATATATAACGGGAAAATCTATACTCCTTTAGATGCTCAAGGTCATGTATTCTTTACGATTACGAAAAGTGTACACTTGTGCGTTCCTGCAATATTTGCGTATGCTAAAATTGTTAGTCTCGCTTTGGAATCTTTGACACCTGTCGGAGACTTTTCAGCAGGGTTTGCCAAGGTATTTTGTGGTACATATTGCCAGAAAAGACCAATTTTATCAGCGTTGTGAATTTGTTCTGGAGATAACTTTTCACTATTAGTGAGTTCAATAAATTCATATGCAGTTTCATTCAGCAGTTTCAGCATCAGCTGAGACTATCAACTATCATGAGATTGGCGATGAAAGACACATTTGTTCTCTGCTAAATTTTGTCTTGCTTCTAATCACACACTGAGCAGATTAAGCATGAATTGCATTATTTTCGTTATTTATTATGCTCAAGTCTATTTCTTGCAAATGCTTAGGTTTCCTTGAATAAATAAATTCCTACATACACTCGAGGCTTATCGAGAGCAGGTGCGAGATATCTTACTGCCCGATTGTAGTCCCCACAAGTCCTAAATTCTGCTACCAAGTGCCTATCTACGTTCTAAAATTTTCCCATCACTAAATTCTGGATCCCAGTGCTTGCCCTAAATTCCAAAAATCTTGTCATCCCTTAATTTTGTTTGAATTCTGCTGCCCGGTGTGGCCATGTGAGCTCAGGCGCCGGTTTGGGGTTTATGCAAATAACAAATAAATTATTCTTAATTCAAATACCACTAATTGTAATCTCTTAGCCCATGAGTATCATTAAGAAAATCTATTTTTAACATATGGAAAGAAATTTTTGTTAAAATCTTTCCTCGCCAAGCATTTAGCGCATTTAACTGAAATCTGTAATAATCACCAAGCATAATGTCAACATAAAAGGTTACCATACTCTTTGTTATACTAATATATATATATATATATATATATATATTGTTTAGGCATCACTGCATGATTCATTATCCAAGTTGTCATGTGCTGACAAACATACAGTGATGAAAGCAAAATATAATAAATAATGATTCACCAGGTTGGCACCAGGGATGTAAAATATTAGCTGATTTTGTTAGGCACCCCTGCATGATTCATTATCCAAGTGGTCATGAACACACCTACACAGTGAGAAGCAAAATTAATAATACGATTCACAGGTTGGCACCAGGGATGTAAAATATTAGCTGGTGTAAAATCAACAATGTAGAATGTTTTGGTTTGAGATGCAAGCCAAGCAGATATGCAGGTATGGTGCCAAATTACTGATCACACAAATTTATGCAAAAATGATTGTTTCTTCAGTAATGAGGTATTTCGGGCTGAAGTGAAATTAAGAATCGGGACTCTCTGCATACTTTATTATTTGGGGGGGGGGATGAAATGTGCATGCGGTAAAGCATTAAAAAAAAAAAGTTTTGATGGTGGCTTTGAGGCCTGGATTTTAGATCATTCTGGATACTGGACATCCAGATTTTGAACTTTGTACTGTACATATACTACACTTCAACCAGGCTGCAAGGAGCATTTTGAATACTGAAATTTCCAGAACGAAAGAGACCAAACCATCTTTGATTGTTACTTTTTATAACGTACCTTGCTCATAAATAGCTTTTCCATGAGCATTTATTTCTTTTCTGAAATAAAACTGTAAAATGCAGCACAATTTTGTGGAAAATTAACTTATCTTCACGGTGCAATACTTTACACCTGGGCAAGAATATCAACACTTTTTGCACATCTGTAAATTTCCTCAGCTCAAATGCAGTTTGGTCTTGCCCACTGTCAATACCCTATGATTTGAAACACTCTATTATGAAGTCATATAGCCTATGATTTGGAACACTATATTGTGGCAGAAGGCCACAATATACTCAGTACTTTTTAGATTATCCAAATGTAGTCTTGCCCACTGCAAGTCATATACCCTATGATTTCGAACACTATATTGTGGGCAGATGGCTCAGTACTTTTTAGATTATCCAATGTATTGCATTTCGTGAAATAACAGTGCAAGAATGAAAACTGGATAAATTTTAATAACTACCAAATCAAATTCGGGGGGAAGGAGAAAGTTTTTAGATTTGATATTATGTCCAAAGGGGCCTTTTTTAATGTTTGGTGTTACCTTTATTTTTTACATATCATGTTCTTCGCACTTAAATCATAAAAATCAATTCAACAACAATGTTACAAAATATTTTAAAAAGAGCATACCTTTAGAATTTCTGATACACAGTCTCATGCACTAGAGATAAAATCTCCCCCCCCCATACAGTGTTGCCATTGCTCGTTTTGAAATCCTCAAACGAGTTGGTTAATCAAAAATTCGTTAAAGTTTTACAAAATATGAAATAGATAATAAAACAAATTCCAAATTTGGACTTCTAGATGCCTATATTCAGGTGGAGGATTACGTTATTTAAAATTTAATGGTTCTAGGTACTGTTGTTTCATCACAATGCTAGAAACATACATTTATGCAAATTCTTCATTATTTAATTTCTTTAAATATAAAATAGAGCGATAATATTTCGTGGCAACAATCTGAAAAGTGATACGCCGTTTATAATGATTCGATGCAAAAAGCCAAAACATAGTTAAATAGCTCTTCTGGGCTAAAAAAGAATTTTAACAAATTATTATCAGGCACTGTTTCAAAATGCATAAAATCTTTGAAGTTTAAAGGAGCAAAAAAGCAAAGAAGATTTCAGCAGCAGTTTACAGTTGCTATAGAATTATGTAAATACAGTGGAACCTCGAGATACAAACACCTCTATATATGAGAAATTCAAGATACGAGAAAAGTATGGGTGAAAAATTCATCTCTAAATAAAAGCATTGACTCGAATAACAAGCAACAAGCCCGGCTGTGGGTATGCATGTCGCATTTCCCGATTTGGTTCGACTCAGTCAATCTCCTTGTCAGATTACTGTGTTCTTTGATCTGCAAGTTGTTTTGTTCGCGAGTTGTTTTTTACGTTTAACTTGAAAATAATTATTTCCAAAGATTGTTGCCTCAGATGGTACAGGAAAGAAAAAGAAGGAAGCCATGAATTGAAATTAAGAAAGAAATCAGATATAAAATAAGCATGGTGTAAGAGTGACGGAACTGGCAAGGCTTATGGCCGTTCGCCATCGATGATCTCACTATTCTGAAGAAGGAAGAAATTAGCAAACTTGGTGTGGCCAAAGGATATACCGTTACTTCCAAGCACCATCTAAAACTCCTAGAAGATGTTGAGAAGCTGTTGTTACTATGGATTAAAAAGCAGTTAAAAGGCAATTCAGTGTCGGAAGCTATCTTTTGCGCTAAGTTTACGAATCTGCAGTTAGACATTTTCCGAAAAGCACCGTGTAAATTGACTGAAAATGAGATGGCAATGAGATTTTCGGGGATGCAGAACGGATTAACCGGATTTCCATTATTTTCAACGAGGAAGTTTTGCTTCTAGATAAGAGAAATTCACTATACGAGCTCAGTGCTTATATTAATTATTATTAGCTCAGTGCAATTAAACTCATATCTCGAGGTTCCACTGTACCTTACAGCTTTGAAAAGAATCAATTTTAAACCTCTGTGGACAGCTGTCACGTATAAACAGCAGACCAAAAACTCACTTAAAACTCTAAATAGTGTGTATTCATGGCAAAAAAATAGTCGTACCTTTTAAGAGAAAGGTGCCATATATGCATATTTCCATGCAGAACATCTGTGTGCCAATAACAACTGGCATACTTTGCACAGTGCCTTTCATGCTAAGTAATTTTTCGCTTCATTTCCAGAACATGAACTATTTATTTCATTTTATTTGCTTTATTATTTTACAGGGAGGAAGGGGGCAGAAAATTAAAAGCACGCTTCTGAAATCATTCTTCCTAGTGAAGTGTGTAAATTCCTCTTTGGAGCAGATGCCACTTTTATTAATTCTTTGCTCTTTTTGTTGTTTATCAAGAGGATTCCTCCCCAAACAATGTACAGTATTAAATATCAGAGGAGATAATAGGTCATCCAAAAAGTTTTGTAGGTCTTTTGGTGATAAGTATAAATGAAGCAGTACAAAAAAGAAAATGTCTTAAATAATGTAAGCATAATTTTGTTATATGACATTTTGCTATCATTTCAGTAGCTGGAAAACACCTTTTTAAAATGTCATTTAAGTTTATTTGCAAAGAAGTTATCTTAGTGCTGTTTGACAATCTTAAAAAGAAAAAGCTTCAGGTGGTTCAGAGAATTTTGAACTATTCTGAAGAGGAAATTCAAAGAGTCAAGGTCCAATGCAGGGGTGGGCAAAGCTAGTCAAATGTGACCCTATTTCTTAGTCCAGGTCATTATGAAATATTCTGGAACAACATTTTCTTCCCTTTCCTACTTGATTTTATATGCAAACTACCAAAATCAGCAGCACAGAAATACAGTCCTATCATTTTTAGCAACTTTAATTTTAAAATTAAACAATGATACATGAATAGTGTTAAGAAAAAATACTGAGCAGAAAAGGGAGTTGAGGAAAAGAACATTTCACCTCTAAATTCTAATTTGAAAACGAAACAGTACACTTTTCATCTGATGATCAAAAGGAATAGGTCCTTTTTTGGCTTATTTTTTAAAATTATAACTTATTTTTTAAAACGATTCTATTTTGAAGGTATTTTCTTCTTTTCTGTCATGTCCTACAACAACGGCACTGCAAAACATCATCATAGCCCTGTACACAATACGCTAAAAAAGACCTTTTTAGTTTATGGTTTTAAGTATTTGCCCACTCCTGGTCTAGTGAATATTGGGGGAGGGGAATCCAACTATACTCAACAAGTTTTTGAAATTCAATTTAACGTGGAGCTAAACACCCTCATGACACAAGAAAACATTTCAACGATTGACCAGTTTTGGATGCTTTACTTCAAATTTTGCTTTAAAAAACTGCCATTTTTGACAGTACTTCACTGAATTTATTATATATTTTGGTGGCAATAATCCACAATGTACAATGCTTTTGTAGTCCCACTTCAGTATCCATTAGTCTTTTTACTGAAGCTTCAAGATTAAATTCTGACATTAAGTTTTATACATTGCAGCAAAATATAAACAATAATCAATATTTTAGTTCTTAAAAGGAGAGGCTTTTTCTAAAAATTCTTCATCTTTGACAGCTGGAATAAGAAAACATTTATGCTTATATTAACAAATAAATCTCAAAGAAAGAAAATAATTATTTAATATTTCAATGCTACGATTTTCTGTAAATCAGACTTGGGAACAAAATTATGCCACCTTTTAGTGTAAAACTGTTCACAGCAATCTACACCTCCCTAGTTACAAAGCTAAATCTTCCTTCTCATTTGGAAAAGATAAAGGCCTTGCAGAAAGGAAAACTATTCTATTAAGAAATTTAACATGATTTCTTTTAAAACATTAACCATTCACTTTTTGGATTCAGTTGAGAAACCATTCGTAATAACAGCAGCAGCATGAAAAACACATTTTCAGGTACTACTTTCTTCGATACTAGATATTGCAGGGGGAGGGGAATGAAGATTTGGTTATCATGTAGTATGTAATCATCTAAAAAATAACTTAATGTGCTTTTAAACAGTTACTTATCTTCTAGATGACAGCATTAAAATTGATTGCTACTTTTAATAATTTCTTTTTAAATCCATTTTATCACAGGTTCTTATTTAAAAATAGCATTTTAGAAGAGCCATCTGAAACAACTAACTAAGAGCAGATTACATACTACATGATCACCAACTGGTGAAGAAAATGACAAATGGTTAAATATGGTCCACAGCAACCTTACTGAATTTGATGCCCTTCCCTAAAAACCAAAAATGGTGAAATCATAACAGAACATTTCCTAAGATGCTTTTTGATGTTCATAAAAAATCCTGATTATTCAGCACTTTGGGGGTGGTTGTCTTACCTAGCCTCTACTGGATCACAGAATCTGAAAATTTATGTAATTGCAATATTATTTCATTTTAGGTCAATTTCTAGGTCCACGGGAAGTAAAAAAAGGCAGAAATTTAATTTTGATTCTTTTTTTTTGGTTCATGACATAATTATTCATAATTTTATGATATTATTGAAAACATTTTGGATATCTTGTTTATATGAGGAGTTACAGCAATATTAAATAAAAATGCACCTACTTATATTATAAACACTTATCTTCTCAATGCAATTACATTGAGAAAAGTAAGTAATAAAAGGGTTTGGAATACTAGTTAAGTTCAGTTTTATTATTTTATATGCATTAGTAAACAGCTTAATCATGCCAAACGAAAGAGGCCACGCTTTGAATTTTCACTTCCATCCATATGAATTATTTGCATTTTATATAAAATTATGAAATTACATGGCATGCATGCTTCTAAGAAAAATTTCAAAAACCATTTGTAACCTAACCAGTATTCCAAAATTCTTCTACCTGAGAATCAAGAGAACTCCAACAATCCCATGAAGGACATACCGCAAGAAGATTATCATGATCAAAATTCCATGGAGTAGATGCCATTAGATCTTTAAGCGAATTCAAACCTTCTTCAACATTTATCACATGATTAGATAATGAATTTCTGAAAAGAATTATTCACTTTAGAAAGAGTTATAACTACTTTTAACTACTTGCAATTTTTAAACAATGATAGAATTCTCTGAAAAGCATTATTTCAGATTTCAATACACAATAAAACAATACATATACAGTTACTAGAACAAAGCAACATGCCTTTTCATATACAATACCAAGATCCTTTTTTTATGGAAAATCATTTAACAAAACTTTGCTGTCAGTATGTAATCAATGCAATTGTACACTTCAACTCTTTATATACTGACAATACTCACAATTACTATTCAAAGTCCCTACAGTACAGCATCGACCCATATAATTTTGATGGTTCTTGGATGGACCTATGCTATGTATCACCTAAATCCTCACTGGAAGGATTATTTGAAATTCTCTGATTTGTTGAGTTATATATTAATTTTTATTAGAATTAAATTTAATATAGTATTCAAAGTCAGCCATTTTTCCTCCATATGTGATGAAAATTTAATGTAAAAGTACTGATGGTACTATACACAAAGATTAAAGAAATTTTTAGACTTGTATTGTATAAATTGTCAAATACAGGAACACAGGTGATGATAAACTGGAGAAAATGTTATAAGCCTAGAATACACATAGCCAGATAAAGCTCTGAAATTGAACTTTTGTGTCAGATTCTATAGTTTTTAATACATAATTTGTACTACATGTTTTTTTTCACACTCACTTACCTTGCTCTATTTCTATGGATTCCTAGTTCAGAGCTATGGTATGCAAGTCACCTATGGTATGCTTTTGAGGTATAGCATTCTATTATCTACTATATTATTAGACCATTATTTTATATTTTCTGGCACATTAATAGTTAATTAAAATACTTACCCTCCAGCAAAAAGTAGCTCATGCTTATGAGAGGCTTGGACAGCCGTGCATGATTTAAACCTGAACTTTTCTCTCTAAGCAATGTAACATACGGTAAAACAAAAGAATACATTGTTCTGTACAAATTAATTTGTTCCAAAATGTAATTTCTAACACACAAATTTAAAGGATAATTATTAATTCAAATTTTGCTTCTGAGATGCCACCTTCATGTTAACAGTACATATCAGGAAAATGTTTTGCTTCATTTAAAAAGAAAGTTATATATTTTTTCTATTTAATTTTTAAAAGATTAAATGGTAATTTAAAAAAAATAAAATATGAGTGTATGATGAATGTACAGATGAGGTACCAGATAATATAAACACTTATAAAATTCTTTATTAACAGGAGTTGGACTACTCTTTGACAAGTACATACTGAAATGCTACATGAAACACGAAAAGGATATACAGGTCTCCCACATTTAAGGGAATATGAAGCCATTCCTTCTGCACTGCAATTTTGAAAGCATAACTGAAAGATGAATTTGAGCATGATGTTTGAATTGCAGATATCCCTATGAATGTTCAACACTGTTTAGGAGACTTAGACATTTAGATGAGATGTCTTATTTTATTGTCATGATTTTTGAACCATGCTTTAACATATCTAGCAGTTGAACAGAAGCTCCAGCATCTTGAAATAGTATTCAAGCAGTTTGAATAGAAGCTCCAGTGTCTTGAAATAGTATTCAGTGTCCAAGAAATAAAGCATGAAGAATACCAAAGTCTATCAGTACACTCCAACAGTGATAGGCTTTGATCTTCTCATACCGAACAACAATTCGGTCAAGACAATGAATGCCTAGCTGTCTCAACCCTTATCAACAAACAGTTACTACATATAGCTCAGAGCTGAGAAAAGATAGGCATGTGAGAATACTTCTTTGGGCATTCTCCAGGCAAACATGTCCACTAGTCTGAAATTGGGTGAATGTTGTTTCATTAGTCCAGACGACTTGCCACTACTGTGGTATCCAGCCTTGGTGAGCTCAGCACCACTGATGTTGCTCAAAAGTATAAAGTGATGTCACCAGTGGTTTATGAATTGTCACTCAGCTATACATGTTTGTAGCATTAAGTTTTTGCTTGATTGCTTTGGTTGTAATGAGATGAGTGCTCAATTTGAATGTTATCTAGGATAGCGATCACTTGTGTTTTTAACCCTCTGACTGCTCAATTTGTGGACCAAAATTGCTTCCAAAACTGCATAATTTTTTCCCCCCCATATTTTAAAATTCTATATATAGGAGAATTGAAAAATGCACTTTTTCTTTCAAGAAAATATTTTTTATATAGATTTTTATCATGAGAAAACTAAGTTGCCAAAAAAACCAATTTCAGATGTTATCACAAAAAAAAAAAAAAAAAAAAAAAAAAAAAAAAAATTTTAAATAAATTTCAGTTAATTCCTATTTATTGCATAATATAAAAAAGTAAAATGTATAAAATTTAAGAAAAGCGCTGAGGGAAAAATACCTTATAAATGCAGTTTAGTATGATAGAGTTCAAACTTTACAGTCTTTGCACCAGATTCAATAAATCTAATTAATAATCAATCTAACTATTAATATAATCAATAATTCAATAATTTAATGGGCCCACCAGCGGCCGAGCGGTAAAGTCGCTGAACACTGGTAGTTCGGTCCGAGGTTCGAATCCCGCGAACGGGCTGGCTGCATGGGTGTTTTCGTGGTTTTCCCCCATGTGTAACGTGTATACGAGCCAGTTTCCCTTAGAAAGTCCTCCACAAAAGGCATCCCTCCTCTTAGGCATATAGCCCTAGTGTGCTTTGCCATAATTAAATACACCACCACTCAGCAATAATTTAACTAAATAATCAAGATAATTGCTGAAGGTTTTCTAGCAGTCATTTCTGTAAGAAAAAAGCAGCAAAAAGTGAAGTTTGAGCGCTAATACCACGTGCCTTCAAATGCCGCAATTTAGTGGTCAACTAACGATATCTGTTAATCAAAACGAAATTAAACACCTAATGCTGTATATAATTTATTTCAGTTGTTAAACGGGTAAAAAACGGGATGCGCATTTCAATAAAGGAAGAAAAACATATGCCCGCGGAAATCATGGGATGAGCGAATCTTGCTACATTTGAGTTGCCCGTGGAAATCGCAGGATGATCAGCCAGAGGGTTAAGGACTACTATATTCTTCAGCATCTACCTGCCCTTATCAGTCAGCTTTGTCTTTTTATATCCTATAATGGCTTGAAGATGCCATGAGACCATCTTCTGTGTATAACATCTTAATGGCTACTACTGCACAGCAAAAATGTTTTAATGCTTCAATAACCAATGTTCCAAAGAGGCATGGTTGTTGAAGTGTGTTTCAGATAAACATGATAAAACAACTAAGCCTCTTTAGAAGAAAACATCAAATTTAGAATCAAAATCTTAACATAAAAATGAGTCATGAGCTTTTACTATCACATTCTTTTCTGTATGGTTCTTTATGAAGTAGCAATTTTTACACTGAAAAACAACCACTGACATTTTTTTGTCTATTGTTAACTAAAAACTACAAATAAAAGCTACAAATTTTTATTAAATCCACAAAAAAATTAAAACTACATATTTTAGTTGCCTTATATCTTTACACAATTTCATAGCATTTAACAATGCATTAGAATTTAGAAATTTTTCCTTTAACCCTCTGATATCTTTATTTAAAATTAGACGAACATTATAATATGCAACAAAAAACTAATGTTAGCCTAATGGCAATTGTCTGCGCACCCAAGTTAATGAAGATGCTATCATATAAATATAAACAGCCTCATAAATTTCTAAATTACAAAAACAGGAGAATTAAGACCAACAAATATTAAAAAATACAAAAATTTACACTGACACTTCTGCATTCCACTCCCTAAAGTTTCACTGTTAATTCTAGTCTGCTAGTTATAACAAACAGTATGAAATTTCTTACCATATGACAACTACTACTACCACCACCAATAATAGTAATAATAATCAGTACGTTTCAGAATACACACAAACTTTATTTACACAAAACTGAAGGAAGCAGGAAAAAAGTTAGTAATAAAAAATATGACCAAAAATGGCTAACCTGATTTCTGATCCATATTTTGCTTTCAGTTCAAATTACTTCATTTATATGCAAACATTTAAATAACAATACTAAAATAACATTTATATAAGCATTACTAAATACGTCGAGGCCGACAGTCTAATAAATAATTTATTAAGAATTCAGGTTTAGCACTGGAGGTCATTAAAAATTTACTGACTTATAATATCACTGACTAAAGTAGATATAATTGGATTCTTCAAATTTCAGTTAAAGTTTTTAAAATTAACATGATTTATATAAAATCATATAAAGTTACATAAAATAACCAAAATTTTCATACAACATAAATAAAAAATTTAGAGAAAATCTTACTTTTGCATATATATTTCAAAACTTCTACACAAGATGCACAGTTCTTAAGATTCTTCATTAGTTTTCAGCATATGTGGTGTGTGCGTATATAAAATACAATTCTTTTGAAACTAAATATAAACATGCCTAGTTTTGGTTTTAACATTTGTTAAATTCTTTGTTGCATTTATAAGATTATTTGAAATTTACTAATTATGAATTTTAGTTTTTGGTCTGTGAAAAATTAGTTCTAAATTTCTCAGGGTTCGTACACATTTCCTTACATGAAAATTAAGGACTCTTAAGGACCATCAAAGAAAAAGGACCTATCAACAAACAAACAAACAAAAAAAAAAAAAAAAAAAAAAAAAAAAAAAAAAAACGAATAGAATAAAGCAATTATCCATACAACTGACTTCATGCTTGTAATTTCACTTTAAGAAACTAACAGAAGTGTGTATTATGCACTATTATTAAATTCACTTTAATACTTACCATAAAACAATTTTGAAAATTAAACTAACTCCCTACAAGTTATGAAGTAGATAACATAATTTCTTTAAAAACATGTATAAGTGTATTTTACACTAATAACAGTCACTATTTTAGAGATTTACATGATTATTATTTAACTTGATATTTATTTAAACAGAGTCAACTACTATTATAACCACAATGTAAGAATATTTTGCAGATTAAAA